AAGACTGCGTGCGCCACAGCACACAGAACGACTCTGCAGGGCAGGCACAAGGGTTCCACACTAGAGATGGAGACTCTGAGGCTGCTGCCCTCGTCCCAAGGTCACCTCAGCCACTCTGGCTGGCATTTCCAAGGTCTTGACAGCCACTCCCTCTTGGGTCGCACTGGTCCTGTCCTGGCCGGTGCCAGCATGGCCACGGCAGAGTCACCCGCCCCAGTACAGCTCTGGTCCCCAAGGGCCAGCTGTCTCCTGCCTGCACGCTGAGCCCCTCCCCAGGGCGATGGCTGGGCCTGGTGTGTTCGTGTGTTCATCCCTCACGCTTCCTTCCACACAGTGGCTTCTGTACTAATGGGAGATTTTTCCAGAACCCCCGTGGACTCCAGCAGCCTCAGACGCTCCAGCCCCTTCTACAAAGCGCACACGCTTCATTTGCATACAACCTATGCAATCCTCTGGTAGATTTTAAATCATCTCTAGATCACTTGAATACCCGATACAGTGTAAATGCTGTATAAATAGTTGTGTTGTATTATTTAGGGAATAATGATAAAAAAAATATTCAGTAGGGACATATTTTTCTGAATATTTTCCACCTGCGGTCGTCCGACTTTGTGAACGCAGAACCAGAGATACAGAGGGCCACCGTCTCAGTGGAGGTTGGTGGCATAAACGTTAGACCCAAGGCCGTGCCAGGGAGCCTGACGAGAGCCTGCTGCACCCTCCCTCGGGAGACTGTTGGGCTGCGCTGGGTAAGGAGCTCTCACTCCTAAGCACAGCCGCTCCCCTTCCCATCTCTCTCCTCCCTGGCCGGCACCCAAGAAGCCCGAGCAGACCCCGCCCTGCGACACCTCCCCCTCAGGACAGCCTGCCTGTGCTGCACCTGCGCGGTGTCCTTCGGCTTTCCTCTCATGTCCGGCCAGAGGTAAGTGGCACCTTTTGCTGATGCCGCCTCAGACTCCTCCTCCCAGGATGCTCTGAAGCGCCCATGGTTCACAGGGGCCTTTTCCCAACCCCAATCTCTTCTGCCCTCCCTGTTATAGCTCACAGGACCAAGTGAGAGTAGAATGCATTTTCATACAGTAAGATAAATGTTAGCTCAACTGAAGTAATTTAATACATGTGGCAAGGCCAGTACCCCCTGGCCCAGAAGTGTCCCCTCCAAGGAACATCCCACTGCTCGGCGAGGACGAATGGCACTGTGGTCCCACTTGACAGCCACCAGAGCACAGCCGCGCTGCAGCACCCTCAGGGCCAGACCCTGGCCTTAGTGCAGCCAGCCCAACCCGAAGACAAACATCTGCCGCAGAGCGCTGACTGCGACGTAGGACCGCAGGCCGGGCGGGTCCAGGACAGCACGCAGGGCCTTGGTGCAGACACCAGCTGACTCCGACCCGATGTGCGCTGGCGGTGCCTCCCCACACTGCCACACTGTGCTGTGCTGCAAGATCAGGGGCGCCCCCAGAACAGGAAGGAGCCACAGGCTCAGGGGCCCTAGGACTTGCTTCCGGGACTCCCTGCCTATGCCCGGACCGTCAGCTCAGCGGAGCACAAGGCGAGCAGCCGCAGCCTAGAGAGCTGCCAACCACACTGCAGGACTGGCTCGAAGGCTGCCCCTCCAGGAAGGCCCTGGCCTCCCTGCTCCGACTCCAGCTCTCAGAGTTACCCAGGTCTCCACACGAGAATGCCTGTCCTCACCAGGTGCTGGCTTTGGGGACACGGATGGGGCCCCGGCCTGTCTATCTGAGGACTAGCAGTGGGGGCTGAACTTGCTCTCTCAGGCACCTGAGCCGGAGAAATCATAGAGAGTTCTGGATCCATCAGGAGGAAACCTCAAAGGTCTGTCCATGTGCCTGAGGAGGAAGACCAATGCAAGCCACTTCCCCTGATGTGAATGAAAACTCACTGTCCTTGGAAAGAGAAGATGGTGCGACGAGACATTTCACAAGTACCACACGCGCCAGGCGCTGGGCGGGCCATCCTGTGCCCCAGCAGGCCCGACGGATGGTCACGGATGGGACCTGACAGATTAGTTCACAAGCTGGAGGCCCCAGGAAGCGATGCATGCTGGCTTGGCTCTCGTAGCATTCACAAGTTTCAGAATTAGTTGATGATGCTTAAAAATTAGGAGATCTATTCAACGCCGCCTTTCCAGCCTCTCTTGAAATCTCAGGCCATCTGGGTGCTGAAGAAGGGAGTCGTGGCTGCCCCTCAGGGTTGACACAGTCCAGCAATGACATGGTCTCTCCTATCAAAAGGCTGGAGCCTGCGGGGGGCACGAGACTGCCTGGCAATCGTGTGACCATCAGCAAGTCGTGATGCCTCCCATGCCTCAGTCTCCCCACCTGTAAGGTGGGGCTGGTAACGGCAGTCCTCATCTAACAGGGTTTCTACGGAGAATGAACGTGCGTGCACGGTACTCTCAGTGCTGCCTGCGTGAAATACACACACCACAGGTGAGCTACGCTCACGGCTGCCTGAGGTGGGGACCACAAGCTGACGGTCAGGCGAGCGTGGCCCATGGTCCCTGAAGCCCAGGGCAGCCGACCTGTTCCTGGCAGTGGGTGGCAGCAGGCATGGGAGGAACCTCACGCGCTCTGGGCACACCTAGAATTCTTCTCCACACCCTGCCTAGGTCAAGCTTCGCCTAGACCTCGGCTCAGCTCAGCATGCAGTCCTTGCCATTTTATTAGATTTGAACAACACTGCCCACCAGGTCCAGGCCTAGCGGGGGATGCAAAGCAAACAAGTCCTCTCCATGAAGAGTTCGTGGCCAGCTGTGCAGCATGCACAATGCAGGTGGCCCCGCCACCATGGGGGTCAGAGAGCTGGAGCAAGGCCCCTCGGCTACAGCCAGTGGACACCAGCGGGAATGATGCCAGCTCTCCAAAAGCCAATTTCCAACTGCTGTCAGATGGCTCACAAGCTATAAAACACTGAGGGCCACACAGAACGAACCTGCCAGGAGGCACTGAGGGACATGCCTGGAAGCCTGGCGGCGGGGGAGCCGAGAGCCCTCTAGGGATGTGGGGAAGGCCAGGGATCGGGGAGCCCTGTAGGGTGAGGCAGAGCCCTGATTTTGTGGATGGCAGCGTCTGTCACCAGATGGGCTGGGCATTCTGGGCACAGACACGGCAGCAGCTCTGACATGAGGGGAGGAGAGTTTTATGGGGCCGGCAGGAGAGGACAGCTACCTAGGGATGGAAAAGCCAGACAGCCAGCTTTTGGGGTTCGGAAGTAGAGATGGGTCACCAAAGCAAGCACCATGAACAAGAGAGGCGAGGGGACACGAGGATGATCATGCCCATGTCAGGGAGATGGGGCAGCGGTGGAGACTGGGCTGGGCTGGGCTCCGCCAGAGCCTCTCAGCGGGGAGTGACCCACATCGCCAATTGCTCAAGAAAAGCCCAAAGTCAATTTTTGTGCAACACTTTCCAACTTCTAAATGTTGGTAATTAATTCAAAGAACTGTGGAAAGACCTGGTGAGCCTGCCTATGCCTGTCATGAGCTGCATGGGGGCCAGCCTTCCTCCCGGGATGCCCCGGGCAGCATGTGGCCACTCTGGCTTGCTGTTGGTGCCCTGGGTGAGAGCTGGCAGGGCACACAGCACGCCTGATTCCCGCCCAGCACAGTGCCGGGTGCAGGGCAGCTGCGAGGCTTCTGCTGATCAGACAAAGGGGCCTAGCACTCGAGTGTGTGCAGGAAGGCAGGAGAGGCCCCGGGGCAGCAGGGCACAGGTGGAGAGGAAGAGGAGCGGGGTACAGAGGTTGGAGCAGGCACAGGGGTGGGCAGATGGGGAGGCCAAGAAGGGGCTGCAGGCGGGACAGCCAGGCCTGTGCTGGGTAGCTGAGCAGGGCACAGTGTTCCCACAGAGGAATCAAGGCCTGGGGCTGGGATCCGGAGCTAAGTCCTGAGCAGGGTTAGGTTTGGGAACTAATGAAGAAACTCAGTAGCGCGCGACTGCTAGGCTCTTAGAGGATGAGACACAGGATCTAGTTTTGAGTATTTACTGCTCTTCTTTGGAAAGGACCACTCTGTCTACACCACTCAGGATTTAAAAAAAAAAAAAATCCCCAACAGATGTACAGGGCTTGTGGAGCCCACACTACCTGAGAATGTCAAAGAGTCTTTAACAGGGCCTGTGCTTCAGCATGGAGTCAGTGCTCAGGAGGGTGCCACCTAGACTGAACCTCAAGAAGTGGCTGGGGACTCTGCTCACACAGCAGCTGCAGGCCTGCTGCAAGAGGGGCAGGGCTGAACGCAGTCTGAGAATGCTGGGTATGCAAGTAAGGGGCCCGGGTCCCTCCTTTCCCAATCTAAACCTCTCCAGGACGACCCTCCCTTCTCCAACGAGACAGCAGTAAAACGTGGAGTGGTGGAGTGGGGAGGGCACCCTGGGCTGGCTGCACTCATGCTGGACTGGAGCACGGTGGTCTGTTGGTCAGGCAGGGCACTGAAGCACAGTCCCAGCCCACAGCAGGAGGAGGGGGAGCCAAGGACAGGAGTAGGAGGGGAGCGCTGGCCTCCAGCCAAGCCATGCTCCCCCTCCACCCCTCCCAGCTGGTGCAGGGAAAAGTGAGTCAGGCCTGGCTAACCATACTAGATCGGGACCTTTCCTGAGGGTTGTCTCTTTCTGTAGGGACTGCTGAAATCAGGGTCTAACGTTATCAGGTGAGACTGCCTGGACCAGAGGACAAAGCTCACCCAGAGGACGGCAGGATTGAGTGACAGAAGCAGGCAGATCCCTGACGACATCTGAACTCCTGGAGTCTGCCACACTTGAAGCCAGCAAGCCCAGGCCCTTCTGTTACAGGTGCCAAAGAACCCTCTTCTGTGCCTAACCCAGTTTTAATGGAGCTTTCTGTCCCTGGCTATTACGAGAGTCCTGGCTGGGCCACTAGCCCTGCTCCTGAGCACTTCCAGCAACAGACTCAGCTGCTGTCAGTAACAGCTAAGACGGGCAGAAGTCGAGTCTGGGTTTATAGCTGCCCCAGGCCAGCGCCATCTGCCAGGCCCCGTGGCAGCCCGCCCCAGCCGCCTGACACACAGCCCTCCCTTCCACGTGTCTGTACTCGCCTCCCTGCTGGGGCTGCCGGGCTCTGGGTCCCCACCTTCTGGATAGAGCCTGGACACATCGGGAGTCCCTCCCCACTGGCCCTGACTGGTGGGCGTCCCTGTGGGTCTGCTTCACACCTGAGCCCTGGGACTCTTGTGGTCCCAAGCATGCATTCTGCCCGCAGGTCTCAGCTGCTCTGTCCCACCCCAGAGAGCTCCCATGGCCAGCGACAATGGCTTAGAACTTTTAGAGCTCTCAGTGACAAAGCAGTCCACTGTGGCCTGGGTGCCAAAGGTTCACCACCACTGGCCTGGACACTGACTCTGGTCAGCGTCTCTGCCTCCCACGCTGTGGGTCAGTCCTCTTTCCACCCGCGTGACATCACCAGGGTTCCCCGGCCAGAGGTGCCCAGAGCCGTCCGGCAGCCCGCCCGCACTACCAAATGAGGGGACACCTTCGGCCTAAAGTCATTGCTGTGTTTGGCCTTGGTTTGCATCCTGGTCCAAGCAAACCAACTGTAAAAAAACAATTTTCAGACAATTAGGCATATTTAAATATAGAGTGGGTATTAAGAGCAAAACAGTAATTACTGTCAGCCATGAGAGTGGCACTGGGGTTATACAAAAGCAAACACACCAGCTCCTCTGTCAGAGATGCACATGCAGCATGTGTGTGAAATGGGACACAAGGGAGACAGAGGAAACAGGAACGGCAGAATGGTGACCAGCGCTGAAACTGCTGATGGACACGTGGGTGGTTATTAAACCGATCTTCAATTCCGCTGTGTCTGAAAGCGTCTGTCCAGAAGAGGCACTTGGCCAGGAGCTGAACACGCCCCCACGGATCCTTAGCTGCCCTGAGTCCCCAGCCTTCTCTTGGGGATCCCTGCCCTCTCCAAACACGGCTGGGGTGTACGTGAGACCCCAGAGTCAGATCCTGCCTCCCTGCTTGAAGTCTCCAGCAACAGTGCCCATGTGGTCGCTCAGGGCAGGTGGGATGGCCAGGAATGGTTCAGAGCACTCTGTAGGTGCTCGATGGACAATATTTACCCCGGTTAATGGGGACCGAGGCGCAGGGACCTCCAGGGACATGGCTGCAGCCACAAGGATTGGCCCCTGGTGGGCTGGTACTGGTGGACAAGCTTTCTCTGAGTAAGTGCGTCTTTTTGCCTCTCTCCAAGTAAGACCGAAACCTTCAGCGTCCTACACAACCTGGCTCCAGCCCCGCCTGGAGCCTCCCCTTGGCCTCCTCTGTCCACCACGCCACAGCCATGGACTCCACTTCCGTCCTGGAAGTGGCTAAGCATGAGCCTGCCTCAGGGCCTTTGCCGCTGCTGTGAGTTCCACTGGGGATGCTCTCCCCGCTAACATCCAGGGCCACTGCTCCTGCCTCAACCCCAGTTCCCAGCAGCTGTTTCCTCCCCGCCAGGCCTCGGGTGCACTGCCCTCCTCTACTGTCTTCAGAACTCTCCGCTGTGCCAGAAGTGATGGCTCCACTGGGGTCCACGTCCCGCGCCCTCCCCACAGAAGGGACAGGTCTGTGCAGGCAGGGCCTGGCTGTTCGTTCACATCTCCCCGGCTCCAAGGCCGCTCGGCCCAATGTGCAGTCACCAGCCACATGGCCACATAAGTTAAAATTCAAACTAATTCAAATGACAGAAATTTTAAGGTGCAGTTTCTCGGTTGCCCTGGCTACATTCCGAATTTCCATCTGCTGCCCTGTTCAGAAGCTGCCATCCTGGCCAGGGCAGATACAGCACACTCACTGCCACGCAAAGCAGGCTGTGCGGCGCGTCCAGAGACAAACCGCCGGGACCTGGGTATTCATTCGTTCGCTCATTCACTCACTGATTCCCTCAGGCTTACAGGCTGAGCGCTATTCGGTGTACACAATGTTCCCGAGGGCCTGCTCTGCTCGGATGCCTGCTGTTATGAGCAGGCTGTGGGCAGCACCTGCATGGTGCCGCTGTGCGTGGATGGCAGTGCTGTGCTTGGTTTTGGTGAGGCGGGGCACCCTGAGGCAGACAGCCAGCGGACCGTCAGAACTGCTGGAGTCTGGGCCCCGATGGGAACCTGCGAGGTGGGGGTGGTGTGTCAGTCTGTTCTCTACTATCACAAAACACCCGAGGCTGGGAACTCCAAAGAAGAGAGGTATATTCGGCTCACAGCTCCGTGGGTTCCAGGGCTGGCCCAGCTCAGCTACGGTGAAGCCCTCATGGCAGAGTGTATGTGGGAGACGCAAGGACAGAAAGAGGCCAGGCTTGTTCTTTGCCTAATAACTGTTCTCTCAGGAACCCAGGGTCCTGTGAGGACAACCTGGGGCCCTTCTGAGGGCAGTGCTCCAGCAGCTCCTGTGAGGCCTCAGCTCCTGTCCACAGTGTATTCCCCACCTCGGACTGAACTTCTAACACACGAGCCCTGGGGGACAGGCCACACCTGCCTCCAGCCCCCCACACAGAGGAGACGACTGGACCCCTCCCAGCAGACGCAGGGCAAGAGGACCCTGAAGAGTATAAGAAAACCCAGGGCCCTCACATCCCTCCAGGCCCTGTCCGTCACTCCTCAGCTGGGGACCATGACACGATGGGACAGACATGTCAGCCCTTCCTTCTGAGCCTGAAGCTTCCTCTCCTTGACGGGCCAGAAGGAAAGTTCAAGATCCTTCTCAAGACAGCACTCAGCATAGCCACTTCCGGTCAGAGTTGGCCAAAGAGGCATAGTCAGTCTGCCACACCAGTTGCGTTCTGAGCCCTCGGCTTCATCTACAAGGTGGGCGGCTGCCACCGCCCTGAGGGGCCACTGAGGTGAAATGAGGTGGTGCCCTCTTTTTATTATTTTTCCCTCCCAGGCCTGCCTGGGCGCCCACCGGGGCCTCTTGTGTGTCTGACACCTGTGCGGCTGACACATGGCAGCTGTCACAAGGAGATGGCTGTGTGCCGCCTCCTGTCCTTGCACCCCCTCCCGGGCCCCTCTCCTCGGAGCAGCTTACATGCACTGGGCCACCTAAGGAGGGGGAAAGGAGCCCATCAGTGTCAGCCCGAAGATGGAACAGGCAGCACACGTTCCAACAGAAAGACTCTCCTTTCTTGCACGGCCTTCTTTCTTCCGTTCTGAATACGCCTTGGTTGGATGAGCTCCTCCATTTAACTCTTCTTCAAGACTCTCATGCACAAAACGCAGTATTAACAAGCCACGTCTCCCGGGCCAGGGTGTAGTTCCTATAAACCCTCACTTTATCTCCTCGGAAACACACAGTAGCAGCTTCTCTGGGGAATATTAAATCAGACCAACCTGCAGCTGCATCGGTTTGTGCTTTTCTGCCCCCAGTAAATTCTGGCAACAGATGGCTGTGCGTTACATAAGCGGCCCCCGCAGCCCTGTTGCCTTCCCTGTCTACCCTGAACCGCCCCGGCCCAGGCAACCCCCGGTGCTCTGTGGGGCACGGAGGACCCCGCTTCATTACTGTGTTCCAGACACACAAGAACGGCTGAGCACGGGCTGAAAAGAAAGGCCTGCCTTGGCCAAAAGGATTGGAGCTGTCGACTCTGTGCTCCAGCCCAGGAAATGTGCTTTTCTCGGCCGGAGATGCATTTCAGTGACAGGGCTGAGCGGTATGATATGGTATGGGCAGCCAGCACGGCCTCACTACTGGTCTGTCCCGGGAGTGGGGTGCTGCGGCTGTGGGCCAGGGCCGCTCCGGGGTCCAGGCCGCCTCTGAGCACACAGAGCCAGGACAGCCAGTGAGGCAGGGCTGCTGACCGACTCCAGAAACTCCCTCCTGGGGTCCAGGGGCTCGGATTTCTTTTTCTCAAATTTAAAGTGTAGGTGTCGCTTTGGGTTACTCCTCTGGGCAGGGTGCGCGTGAACAGGGGCAGCTGGGACTCTGCCCCTGGATCTGCGGTCCCAACAGCTGACGGTGCCCAGGCCAAGTTCCCAAGGGTGAAGGCCTAAGTGGTGGGTGGGTGAGAGAGCAGCCAGGGAAGGCACTGAGAGGGAGGGCTGTGCCCACGCAGGTCCCCAGTCTAACTTGCTGTGTGGCCTGTGCAAACTACCTGCCCTCTCTGAGCTTGTACCTGAAGATCGAATGAGCAACAAGGGCAAGGGGCACACTTGCAAGGCCAGGACTCAGAGAGGCCGGGGCAGGAGGATTGAAAGTTCGAGCCTAGCCTGGGCAACTTAGGAACTTAGACCCTGTCTCAAAAAAAGAGAGAATAACGGGACTTGGAGGTGTATCTTGGTGTAAAGGTCCTGGGTCCAAGCCTTAGTACCACAAATAAACGCAAAAACCAATCAACCAACTAAACCCAATAAACAAAAACAGAACACAAAGGGCAACATGAGTGCTCTTAGGGCATGGGAACGTGGAGCTCATTCATTCGTCCGCTCTGAGGCAGTGGCGAAGCCGCCTAAACTCGGGTGCGGGGAGGAGGAAGGGGGCGCCGCTCACAGTTGTAATGGGGCATGGGGCGGGGAAAGTGACAACCGGGACTCCAGGAAGCACAGGCCCAGGCAGGCACAACCAGACACCCAGGAGGCCCTGCGGGCACGGGCACCAACAGGAGGGAAGCGGGGCGGGCGCAAGGGGCTCGGGGGCTCTGCCGCCAGGCTCGAGGATGACCTCGATCGGCTGAGCAGGGTGTGAGGGGACCCCGCTGGGGCAGGACGGCCCCTCGCTGTTCCGCACC